AAGAAGGTTATGTTTTCAGTAGCGTTTGTCCGTTTGTTTGTTTGTGGTTTAGCAAGATAACTCAAGAAGCTTAATATGGATTGTCATGAAACTTGGTATGTGGGTAGGTCTTGATGAGACCTAGAAATGATTAGATTTTGGGCCCCCTGGCGGCTTTTGTTGGTACTGCAGCAGAACTTCCGGTTTTGATATCTCGTGATCTAGACGTACTAGGGTCACGAATTTTGGTTGGTAGATAGCTCTTGGGGTAGGGAAGAAGTGACATGAGTTTCGGGCCCCTAGCAGCTTGTTCTGGAACTGCAGGAGCATTTCTTGAAAAATCTACGAAGGTCCATAACTCAAGAACCGGTTGATGGATTGTTATGATTTTTGGTATGTAGGTAGCTAAAGTGATGCTTCACATAATCAGATGACAATTATGCAAATCAGGAGCTAATTTGCATAATTAATGAGGAAATTCTATAAATCTGCTTCGTTCGATAATAGGACTATGAAACATGTGTGACATGTAATTGGGAACGAGAAAAACATCCGAGGATATAGATTATGTAAATGAAGACCTAATTTGCATAATTAATGGCAAATTGTTATAATTTCATAGTATAATGTAACTGCTAGGAATTTCATACTTGCCGTATTGGAAGTTAAGTGAAGGTGAACATCAATGAAGATAACTTATTAACATCATGACCTCATTTGCATAATTTATGAGGAAGTGCTAGAATAGCCTTTTTTGTTAAGATAAGGTTATCATTGGGTGGAGAATATGATCCATATGATGTAGTCCATGCAAATGACTCTGTTATTTGCGAAATCAATGATTAAAATTGTATAATTCGTCAACCGTCAATTTGTCAACATCATTTGGCGAAGGTATGAGATCGTGGAACTCTTGTTTGAAATAGATTTTAAAAATTGCCCTGGTGGTAACAAGTGTGTTCTGACCTGGTAGATGTCATACATGAACATCTGCCCCATCTTGTAGACAGGGATGGTTGTGTAGATGGGACAGTTTAACCCACACTTCCCCACCATGTACGGCAGGGCACCCAGGTGTAGGGGGTCGGGATGGGAGATTAACACTGCATCAATCTGGTGGGCATACCTGGGGAATAACAGAGACAACCCACGTTAACACAATACACCATCACTTACCCAAACAATAGAAGTGTAACATTACAGTGTTAAGTGAGCTACTAAATCTTAAGCTCAGAAGCGTTACCAAAGATCTTGCATCGACATGCTAATAAAACCTTAATTTGTCTGAAGTCTCACTTCTTCAAGTTGTCCACATAGCTCATGGTGAACTTCTCGTCCCAGCCACAGTCCAGCAGGAAACGGAACTCATCAAACTGCAGCAGGTAACAGAGGGGGGTCTCATCGTGGACACCACACAGGGGAGTCAACTTCAGGATGGATGTCATACTGGAGTCCTGAGGGAGGGGGTATTACGAAGGGTTACGCCTTATATTATGCTACAATGTACATGTATCAACAGATGCAGGTCACTAGACTTTGTTATGAGTATACAATCTGACAAAAATCAATGTCATGTGACACAGTCAAGGGATATCGTATGGTGTCATTACATTTTGTTTTTACATAACAGTGCAGTGGAGGGGGGGGGGGTATTTAATATGTATGTAATGTATGTAAGTCCAATAACCGTGAGCGGTCGTAGGGGCATATTTAATAACAGATCATCAAAATTTTACAGTCTCTTTGACACACCGAGGTGGTTCTACTGAAACCTCTTTGCTTCAACCTTTATAGCCGTGACCAAGTCGAGCTCCTACAGCAAAATTTATAATTTCGTCACGGCTACCTTCAACCTCTGCATGAAGAGTGGAGAACAGAAACAAGAAACACTCATAATTTTACTAGTAGAGTAAAAAGGAGTGGCAGCCAAAGAGTGAGACCTGCGTGGTTTTCAAACCACGTTGACAAGTAACAAGACCGTGACTTCTATGGGCTTGCCTTCTGTCACGTATCAGCGTTGCGTGGTTTGCCTAGACCAGATCGCCTCCGCGGGAAAAAGGTGGGGAGGGGGGGGCAAGTTTACGCCGACTAGAGGATGAAAAGGTCTACAATGTCTACCTCTAGACACTTTAGATCTATTCAGGAGCAACTTACCTTACTTCGGAAGGTCTTACGATAGAATAAGTTCTTGGGATAAGTAAATGAGGGGCGTTTTTGTTCAACACACCAAAAATATCAACAGCAAGTCGCCATTTTTTCTTTTCATCAAACTGTCCCAAGGGGATTCTGGGTAGCAACGACACCTTGCGAGTGCTGTTGGGAGATCAGCCCCCTAGTTGTTTGACATCAACAAGGAGCTTATCTTGGTATTATCAAATGATAACATTACCGGTTTTCTAAAGAAAACGTTACATTATTTCGATAAGATTTCAGTGAGGCAGTATACTAGTATGTAGGAAATCTGCCCAATGTTTTGTTGTCTATAGAAAAAAAAACACACATCACAAAAAGTTCTGTTTTGCCTTATATTACAATCTAATCATAAGATATACATACGTACAGTGCCAATTCATAATTTTACAGACAATGTATCAAGCCCTTGCATTCTCATCATTGCTAAAATAGACATCTACAGCAGTAAGACATTGCACAACATGGGGTGGTGCATATTTCAGGGCTTGTGGCTAAGTTACATGTGGAGTATACACTGCATTAGGCCACAACAATTCAATAACTCCATTTACTGGACATGAAGATAAAACAAAAAAGGATCCATATCTCCTAGACTTTGCAATCAAAAGGCAGTTGTACATTCCACAGCCATTGATTCCATAGTATATCCCATACTTTTCTTACAATCATGTTAAGGTACATATATACTCCACAGATAACATTCTGCTTGGTTACTTTTGTCAGATTAATTAACATTTACAAGTGATTTCCTTCAAACAGCAAACAGTGCCTAAAAGACTTACAATTTCAGGTATGCCCACTAAATATTCCTTTCAATTTTAATCTTACACATATACACACATACTATGGTATGGCTCTTTACATATAACTACACTGTACATTTATGACCAAAACTAAAATAACCTACAAATACAAAAGGAAAATGAATTCACAAATAAAATACATGTCTAACCTATGTGTGCTATTTTGTACCAAAAAATAATTTTGAAATGTACAATGTGATAAAATGAAAGTTTGCAACATAGCATATGCGGAATATCCTATAATGGTATCATGTTACAATATTTTTGGGCTTGCTCTTCATGACTGACGTTATGCTTAAACTCACACAGCAGAACTGAGCACATACTGTCATTTAAGGCGATAACACTGTTTTACAATTAGACAGATCACTACCATGACTTTATTAAAGAGTACTTCTTAAAATAGTTCATGTAACCTAACATGGCTCTGTGACTGCGACTTGTGTGACCCATGGAATGGACCCAAGGATAACTCTGGAGTACTGTAAATGCATTTACTTTTGCAGTGGCTATTTTTTTTGGGTAGGATGAAAAGGAGCTTTTTGTTGTGTTTTAAATTCACAGTTACAACAAATCTGTAGTACAGTAGTAATACAATTCGCAGTGTCATGAATTTTGTGGTGGTGGGAGTTGGGTTCACTGTGAAAGTGTCTGCATTTATAGTATTCAGTCTTGTGACAGTCACATGGAGGATCCACACATGCAGGTCATCAACATGTGATCTGCCCTGTCAGTGTCTGTCATAATCTTAGCAAACTTACCCCCAAACTTGTAACTTGTTTGTCTACATTGTCATGGTAATTCATAGTTTGAATCTCACTGAATTCATTACATGCCAGAAAATAATGGACACCAGGATTGAGCAAAGACTGCCTAAATAGACCAGTAATCTCATACTTAGGTCATAGGAATATTGGGACAGTGTAGTACCAGTTGCTGGATTTAAAAAAAACACTACACTAAGTAATATAGTACAGCCAGTCGCATAGATGTCCACACTGATACAGTGAAAACAACTGTCATGAAATGATTCCTCCAGATAAAAACACTCACATGATACAAACATCACATACATTTTTTGCTAACCCTACTAAATGTTGAGACTGAAAAATCTGAAGAAAATGCAGAGAAATCTCATATATGTATCGTATATACAGAACAAAAATAAATCTACCTACATGTATAAGGTAGGTACTTTCTTGCAAGCAGCACGCAATCTCTTTGGAAATTTCCGATCATGATATGAATTACCAGGTACCCTACTTTCATCGGAGACAACATGTAGCTGACAGTGCAAAAGTACCGTACTACAATATTCTCAATGTATTTTTATGAGGTGGCACAGAAAGCTAAAACTTAACTCTACAGAAATTATTTACATTCTAAAAAAACTACTAGTACATGGAAGCACACACTTTTACCAGAGAAAATTAAAAACCACTGGATACTCTACTTCATTAATGATTGATATATAAAACAACAAGAGGATGGCATGGTGTTCCTAAAAATGTAAATGATAGTAGTAGGTTGTTTAGAGAATATAACTGCTTTTGCTGGTCTAATGGTTATCTTGAAACTGTTCCCATCATGAAGAATAGATAAGATAATACTAATGCAACCTAACAACGAATGGGCATTACATGCTGGTCATCAAACATCAAAGGCGTGAATGCCAGACTCAGTCACTGGTTCCAGGGCCTACACAAGCTAACTTCTGGAGCAGAGAAGCTGGCTTGTACAGGCCCTCGAAACAGACTGGAATCCAGGCTACTCAAGTAGCCCTATCTATGAAATCCACTGATGGTTAACAAACGTAAGAACATTGTGTGGAGAACCTTCCAGAATAAATTAAAGAAAGCCTAAGAGTACATAAGGCCTGCTGATGGTGGACTGTTTACACTCCTCGAAAATGTAATTAGATTGCAGAGTACTGGTGGAAAAGCAGGTCAAGCCGACGCTGGAGGAGTCCCGTTTATAATATCCAGTATCTTGGGTAACTCCAGAACAGACGTGACAATGTGGTGAGGAACGGGGCCGCCTTCAGGGATCGCAGCGCCCGTAGAATTGATCCACACGGTGCTCAACAGCTTTGCGTTCAGCCCTCCTGAATGTCTGTGTTCAGGCGGTCGCCTACCATCACACATTGGTCAGCGTTCAGCTGCAGGTCCTGTAACGCCCGCTGGTATACGGACGGGTACGGCTTCTGCTCCGGGTACAGTCCACACAGCACGATGGAGTCAAAGTATACATCGGACTCACACACCTACACAAAGACAAAGTGTTGTACATGTATTATAGGTTTTATATCATAAGATGTGGTGCACAACATCAGCTAGATCTGCCTTGTCCTTCATACTGTACTGCTATGTACTGTACTACTATTGTAATTTGAATAAAGAAAGAGCACCATTGCACCAATGTATTGGAGTCGAAGTATGCAACAGACTCATACACCTACACAAACACAAAGTTATGATTAGAAAGGGCAAAAATCCAAACGGCTAATTGGTGCAGGCAGGCAGGCAGGATAAAAAGTGTAGAGTGTAATGTAACTACATGTATCTGCTGGTGAAGCTGCTGAATTATGCTGAAGCACATACCTGTGACTTCTCCCTCTGCGGCTCCAGGGGCCCGTTGGTCATCATCTGCAGCTTGTACTCCTTCCGCAGACCCACAAGCATCTGCTTAATCTCCTCCGTAAACACCATCCTCTTCAGACGCTCCCTCTTCCAGGTGGCGTACATCTTGGCGGGCAGGCCGTTGTACTGCGTGATGCCCTGCTTGTTCAGTATGTTCTCCCACAGCTTGGTTCTCCACTCGTCCACGGTCAGTTTCCCCTCCGGGTCACACCCATCATTCCAGCCCAGGTCGACCCTGAACTTGGCGGTCATGGCGGCAGTGTCGTATCCTGGACATGCTTCTTCTATTACCTCTCGCACCTACAGGGCAGGGAAAGATATTTGAAAATCTGAAACAAAAGTGTCATGCCACCCACTGACATTTTCATGGTACTTAGTTTTATAATACATTTTTTTACTGTTAATTGTACCATACCACTGCCACCCCAATCTGGACCATAGAATTTACTCATCATTATTTCATCTTGTCTTATTTTCGATATCAATGTTCACAGTACAGACGCTCTGAACAGAAGGGCCCCACAATGTTTTCCTTTACAAGTTTGACTTTGAGATTAGACATACCTAACCTAGTGGAATTCCAAAAGCTTTGGGCAAAACCTAATGGGCAGGAATTTTGAAAGGCTGACTGATTTCTTGGACAGACACACCCTGGCAAGCTGTGGTATGACGTCAAAGGGTGGTCATGAGATCAGCAGCAGGCTGGCATTGATTTTTGCACCAGATCATGAACAAATTCAATACCATAAATGTTCCTGGTGAAATTCAGTCTACTCAATGAAGTTGTATTTTGTTCGTGGTGACTCAAGCACAACTTCCTGTTGCTTACTAGAAACAAAATCAGGAAGTGGTCAGGCAACCAGGAAAAACGAAATAGGATTAGGAAGTCTATGTCAATAAAATCGTAACAAACGCATCGATACAAATTTACGAAACGGCTGCCGTGACAGTACAGATTATAACCAGTTATTGATCACAACACCCAACTGAATGGCTACGCATTTTTCTGGTCAAATTATGAAAATTTGATGAGATGTGTGTCCTTGAGTTCGTCAAGGCCGCTGGCGCTGGGAATAAATAATGTACAAATTATTATCAAAAATTTCAGATCTGACTTCAAACATATGAGGGAATCTCCTTTCTTTCTATGTTGTTGCTTTTCTTAAAGTAATGTGTAACCTGCACGCAGTGCGCCGACGCAGATAATTTGTTGTTGTAACACCGTGTCTACGTGTACTACGTGACTACGTGTATCCATTCATATATTATAACGTTACGTGTGTGGTCAAACCGGTTCGTACACCTTGAAAAATAACAAACTCTTCCATAAAAAGCAACAAAAAAAAATACATGTAGCTAACAAGGACATCTTTGGGTACATTCTTACCAATTCGTAAGCCTCGTCGTCGGCTTCCTTGGTTGGTATCAACGTGTTGTCCAAGTCAAAAATTATTGCCGCCACCTTCTTCGTATTCAGCGCCATCTTGAAATACCCAAGATTCACAGAGGTTAAATAAGGTCACTCTATTTTTACGCACTATATTTTTTATAGAAGTAAAAGACTGATATTGGCAAAGGTACGAAAGTAACGGGTTCCTTACTGGGCGCCCAGTACGGAAACCGTGGAGAAAATAGCGTCGATACTCGGCGCCCAGTTCTGAAGAAAGCTCTAAACTGGAATTCCAGTTCGGAACGGCGTTATTCCAGTACTGAAGCTTCGTCAGAACTGGAAGTTCAGAACTGAATCTTGTTTCGGAACTCGTTTTCCAGACCTGAACGCCCGTCGGTACTCGGACCCCAGTACTGTGTTGCGTCCCGGCTACAGGAAGGCTGGTTCAATGGTCATTCAGTACTGGTTACCCAGTTCGGAGATCATTCAGTACTGGAAAGCCGAGTGTCGATGTACCTAAGTAACGGGTTCCGTACTGGATTGACCAGTAAAACGTGACTCTACAGTACTGGAAGCCGAGTTTTCAAATTATTTCCGAACTGGGCTTCCTGTTCTCACGTTCTAATTGTACTGGGATGTTCCAGTACTGAATACGATATGTCTCAATACAGTAGTAGAAGTAGCCTTGCTGACATCACCAACGTATAAACTAGTATTGGTCTATAACTGGTCGATGTGCCGATCTTCAACAGCCCGCTCTTCGTTGTTAGCCGCCTCAGTTTCTCTCGTCTCCCGTAGACGCTTCCTGTAGGTGGTCTCGTTGTCCTCCGGCAGCAGTGTTCGCCTTATGTTGCGGCGGCCATCCGGCAGCTTGCCCGGCTTTACTACCGCCCGGCAGCGCTTATAAGCCGAGCTATACTCACGCCAAAGCCGCTCCGCGTTTTCCAGTACGGAAGGAACGTTCAGTTCTCGGTTTCCAGAACTGATTCAGAGTTTTCCAGTTCTGAAGTCGCCTCAGATCTGGACGCCCAGTTCTGCCAGAACCTCCGAACTGGAAGTTCAGTTCGGAAGGCACCTTCAGTACTGAACATCGAGTACTGAGGGAGAAACCCGTTACTTAGGTACTTTTGCCTGATATTGGTAGTCAAACGTATTTTAAAGTTCGTCATATAGGATGCGTATGAGGACTTATATAGATAAAAAATAGATTTAAAATGAAATAATGTGTGTTACCCATGATGCTCAGTAGTTACGTCACCAGTTTTGGCGGGTCAGACGAACAAAACAGCGAACCGGTTCCTTCATTTTCTGAACGACAAATCCTTACTTCTCAAGAAATAGCACAGTCTTTTGATACTTAGAAGGGAGGTAAGTGTCTCGGGAACAACTTGGAAGTGGTACTGAATGGTAATTCCTCAGTTTTGTCGTGTAAGACAGTTGTAAATTGTGTACAAAATTATGCAAAGCATGCCCAGACCTGTCATGTTTACAGTCGACTCAGAAATAAGATATGTCAGGAATATAGTGGGTCATCGTGGCTTCTAAAGAAACTATGAACTAAACGCTGATATTGGTTTGGTTTAACTCCACTGTTTTTCTAGATGTAGGTATCAAATAATAAATACATAAGTGTTTATGTAATGATTTGCTGATGGGCAAATTATGTAACTAATTTATGCGGCCACCTCAGAAGAAGTTTGTAGTTCAGTAAGACTTGTAGTCCTTTCTGGCAGACCCTGCAGTACAATATGACACTAGTATACAGTCTACAATATGAAATGAAATATCAAGGAATATATGTGGTACAAAATGACTTTGATGCAGGAACCTCTCCCAGAACACGTTACCATGGCAATGCAGATGGAGCGCCCCCAGGCTGTTGTGGAGGAGGAGGATGAGGAGAACTTTGGACCGATGCTGGTGAAATCCCTCGAGGTACCAAAACAGGACTTAAAATGGCTAGAATGGTATTATGTGATCAAACGGGCAGCAGACTTCCCGGGCAATTTATTCTTCTCCCCATAGCCAATATACATGTTGTTACTAGGGTAGAGGATACAGAAGACACAAGAAATACAAGATAGATCTGGAATAAGTTCTAGATTTGAGTTGAGTTGTGACCAAACTAGAAATTGAGGGTAGTTTTCCCGGATTTGCATTTTTTTATTTGCACAATGTTCCAGTTGATATTTACTGTTTGTTGATCCCTTCCCTCAGCAACATGGTATCAGCGCTAGCGATGTGAAGAAGCTGGAGGAAGCTGGGTTCTACACTGTGGAGGCAGTGGCATACGCACCAAAAAAACAGCTCATCAACATTAAAGGCATCAGCGAGGCTAAGGCAGATAAGATTTTGGTAGGACACGTGTTCCTGGTCAATCCACACATGCACACACACACACACACACACCCTTAGTTCACACATGCCAGCCACAAAATGCATTTTCCGTCTGATGCATGGATGTGTGATACCTTCTGTCAACACCGCTCTAGTCTGATACATGGACTTTAAGTTACAATGTAGCTTTCTTTGAACTTTTTATTCTCCTTGTTACAAATTGAAACAGTAAGGTTTGTCTTTTACTACTGATTGTCATTCTTAGTTTGAAGTTTATGGGGTATTGTGGTAGTGGAATTCCAGCTTCTACAGTCCTGTTCCAGAAGTAACTAGACAAACATAATGTATTTTTAATTTTGTGACATCTGTGATTGTCAGGCGGAGGCGTGTAAGCTGGTTCCTATGGGGTTCACCACAGCGACAGACTTCCACGCAAGGAGATCAGAGATGATCTCCATCACCACAGGCTCCAAGGAGCTGGACAAACTGCTGCAAGGTACATCTGGTACTTTTTTCCTAAAAAAAAACATCATCGATGAAAAGCACAAGACCACAGACACTGACAAAAAACAGAAAGCAGCGAGCCTTCAAAGTTTTCTGACTGTCATCTTTGGACAGTTGGTTTAGCTTAAGAAGATACTGAAGTAAAATATGTGTTTATGATAAATATAATACTGTGTGTTACAGGAGGAATTGAGACGGGATCTATTACAGAGATGTTTGGAGAGTTCCGTACAGGAAAGACACAGTTGTGCCACACACTCGCAGTCACATGCCAGGTATGTATCATGTTGTTATTATCCACTAGTAAAGAGTAAAACTTTCCCAAGATGGTACTGAGATTATTGGAATGTTGGAAACAGGATTGAAGTGAAACTGACTGTCCTTCATTGAACTTTCAAATTGACTGATACCTGATAAGGTCAGTACTATAAGATTTTTTGGTATGGGCCCAGGGGGAATAAACGTATGCAATTTTGATTGACAGCTGCCAGTGGACCAGGGCGGAGGGGAGGGAAAGTGCCTGTACATCGACACAGAGGGAACCTTCAGACCAGAGCGACTCATCGCTGTCGCTGAAAGGTCAGTTAAACTAACTTCCAGTGTTGTACCTAGCATAGTCAGACCCCTATGTGATTTTGAACCGCTATGCTGTTTCTTTCTGACAGATTAAGCATTTTTCATTGATTTTTGCCTCTACCACATGCACAGGTTTAACCTGTCAGGTCCAGATGCGCTGGACAATGTCGCCTGTGCTCGTGCCTTCAACTCTGACCACCAGTCCCAGCTGCTCATGCAGGCGTCGGCCATGATGGCTGAGTCAAGGTGGGAATATCACTCTCAAAAATGTCAGGGCAACCAGGGATGGAAATACTACATTTTTACCTCTGTGTACGGTTTTGTTTTCAGTGTGTATATTCGTGTTTGCTGTGGTTATTTCTACATGCTTGTCATGTTGGAGACACTGACAGGTCCAAGGGAAGGCTATCTCATTTCTGTATTTGAGTTATTTATTTTGAAGGCAATTTGCAGACATTATCTATTTCTAACTTTTACTTAATTCCCCCAATAGATATGCCTTGCTGATAGTAGATAGTGCCACAGCTCTGTATCGTACTGACTACTCTGGTCGCGGGGAGCTCTCTGCTAGACAGATGCACCTGGCTCGCTTCCTCAGGATGCTACTCAGACTGGCTGATGAGGTACTTTCTTGTAGCACAAATATTTCAAACTTGGAGGAAAAAATTTGTCATTTTTCATTCTCTATGGTCATCCAACATGTCCTTTTACCACACAAACAATATTCTGTCAACATCATATTATAAAGGTAATTTAGAGTTTGACTTTCTACTTACCAAATGACACATTTTACAATGATGCTCCAGTTAAAAAAATTGTTTTTTTTGGAAACTGGCTGTGTTCATAGCCTGGTTGCCACATGTATACTAGTTTTAGATGGATCTGTTGATGAAAAGTTAGAAAGTTGAGTCCCCACAAGACCTTATTGCTTGTATTTTCTCCAGTTTGGTATCGCAGTGGTGATAACCAATCAGGTAGTGGCTCAGGTGGATGGAGCGGCCATGTTTGCTGCAGATCCAAAAAAGCCCATCGGTGGAAACATCATGGCCCATGCATCAACAACTAGGTACCTAGCATTAGAGCTCATCTGTTTTGATGAATAACATTCAAATTACATTACTTTTAAAGAAGTACAACAGTGTTTTGTTCAAACTGATAGTATAGTTACAGTCAGTTGAAATGATGGAATACAAGAACACTTTTTTTCTTGTCAACTTGCCTTTTTTTAAATTCCTGAAACAGTACTGACTATGCATTGGGTAGTACATGTATTACAAAGCTGCAGAATTACACCTGTACTGTTAATTTCTCTTTTTTTTTGCATTCCAGGTTGTACTTAAGAAAAGGCAGAGGTGACACAAGAATCTGTAAGATTTACGACTCCCCGTGTCTGCCTGAAGCAGACGCCATGTTCTCCATCGGAAATGAAGGAATAACAGATGCGAAGGACTAGATTCCCTCAGAAACTTTGGCATATTTATCCTATCTAGTATGAAATAAATAAAGAACACTTGTATTACTTAACATTATGGAATGAAAAGACTACGTACATCTATGTCAGCTAGTGACATTTTCCTGGAGGGCTACAAAGCTATGAAATAGATAACACATTTCGCAGTTTAGTTACTATTCTACTTTTATCTGTACTATTAAATGGTAAAAAAAAGAGATTAATTGCATATTCTTCAATATGAACCTGTGATGATGTATGTTACCATATAGCCCAAGTGAGGCATTCATTATTTAGTAAACGATTCTTATTTAGATTGATGAAGAGCATTCAAATTCTTCTTGAGATTGAAATGTTATTGATGGTACCAACAGCAATAAAGTTAAACTCCAAACTTTTTGTGTTGACTTCTTCACAATGTAAATCTTGTACTATCTGTATCTTCCTATATCAAACACATTCTGTAGATGTTGAGGTGTTCATCCCATTCCAGCTCCAGTTTGATAGGAGACTGGTGCCAGATTATTTGGCAGAGGAGTGGACTGAACAGTTAGAATAGGACAGAATCCAGGCTAGTTGGGGAGTTTTTGCAAAATGAAAGAGCTGGGCTTTGAGAGCAACACACATGTACATACAGCAGGTATATCAGAAGACCGTGGATTGTTGAACTCCACGGCCGTGCTCTTCATCACTATGATAATGAACTCCGCCGTTGAGTTCATCGATATGGTGATGAACTCAATGGCGATTCCGTCACTAGTAGTAGCGGCGATTGGCCGTTGAGTTCATCGATATGGTGATGAACTCAACGGCGATTCCGTCACTAGTAGCGGCGATTGGCCATTGAGTTCATCGATATAGTGATGAACTCAACGGCGATTCCGTCACTAATAGCGGCGATTGGCCGTTGAGTTCATCGATATGGTGATGAGCTCACAGATCCTGAACTGTTTAATCAAATAGCCTGTTATTGATTCTGCATAAGATTACAATGACACTGGAGATGTAAAATGTACTTATTTTATTTTCCAATATTCTTTTCTGGAGACAGAATGTTAACATCTTTTCAGATTAGCATTCAAAGCATGGATTTAAGATGGGATTGATCTTAGCGAAGCTAATGATCAGTGTTACAAATATTAGAAGCAATGTAACCAGAGAAGCATTGCAGGTTAAATACTACTTTACAGGCCCAGACCAGCCAAATCACAATTCACCACATTTTTATTACCATATTACAATGTTTAACCATATAAGTATACTGTAATTTTCAGACTTTTCACTGTTTTTAAGTTCGCAACTTTTGCAGTGGCCTTTCATCACACCAAGAACATATGTTCTGTCTTTCACTGTTACTATGGTTGTTTCAACTGCGAACTAAAAAAACACCACTAACTCTTAATTCTCACCATGCCATGATATTAATTTCTAGTAATCTAAAGGAGTCAATCCTCACACAGTGGGAATAACCATTTTCATACATAAAGAATTTGTTCCTATGTGTATACATGTGAAATCTTAAAATCATTGAAAGAACTTTAATGTTCACTCACTTTACCAAATGTGTACTGCTGGGTTACAAAATAATAGAGAAAGGACTACACATGGACTGATCTCACAATGAATGATGTAACTACAATGTATGTACAGAGTCTCTTCTAGCAATTGTCCTTACACCCTGATGACTTCAGCAGCTGTGCACCTTGGCTTCCTGGCAGTGCCATCATGGGTTGGGGAGGGAGGAGCCTGAATGACAAAGCGTGCAAAGGTTCCTCCAGTCTGAGCCTTAGTTATCCTGCCAGGGTTCACACAGACACACCCCAGCACGTCCTGGGGGTTCACACAGGATGAATGTAAGTAAATTCAAACACTTTCTCATTGCACAAATTCTGTAACAAATAAGACAGCACTTTCTTTAATATGTTTATGGACCTCTACCATTCTTAACACTTTACATGTACATGTTTGTATCTTCTTGTCTAAAAGCTATGAAGAAACTTTTACATGCTGCCATTGGTTAATACCTTTCCTGGTGCGTAATGTGCAGTATTGAAATAGTAAAATGTACAATGTATTACAGAACAGAGGAAGAACACAGTCAACTGGTAAAAGAAGTCAAACCAACTCACCTTGACAAAGTACCTGAGGTCAGAGGGCAGGATGAGGACATCAGGTGTGACCTGTAGCTTGCAGAACTGGTCGTAATGTTCGTAGTCGATGTTCACATCCTCCGAGGGGGGGTACAGAGGGTAGTAACTACAGAAAGAAACATCAAATAATGTGCTATAGGTCACTTTAGGACAGTAGGAAGAAACATCAAACAATTCCTGGTAAAATGAAGCTGGAAGACCACTGTCAGTCTAATCAAGTATCTTCCTAACTGGACGAAATTTAAGACATCACAATGCAAAATAACAGGGAAAAATATGACTGGGTTCATTACTGATGTGTCCTTGTTAGCATCTTAGTTTGTATTCTAGAGATGGCTGCATACCATAGAATGTATGACATGTAAAAGGATAAAAATGGTGAAGATGTGCAGGACACACCTTTGCTGAGTGAGGATGTGCTTGATAAGCCTGCCTATCCTGTCAGTATGGCCTCTGGAAGAAGAAAACAACACATTCAGACTCCAAAGTGACTTGTTGATCTTGTCTTCTACAATATTATTGGAACCCACTGACAACCACAGTAGTGCTCTATCCTCAGAAAAAAAGTGAATAATACAAGCTAGGTTATGTTTATGTTACATGAATCTTTTAAGACACAGCAAATTTCCCATCCCTTTTTACTGCAGCTGACATTGCAATAATGAACACACGTCCTACCTAGATGTCTCCTCCCCTCCCAGGTGGAACAGGATATCTGTGGACGTGAGCCCCACCACCACTCCGTTAATGGTCAGGGTACAGGGGTCTGACACAAAGTGCACTCTCTGGAACACAAGCAGGGTATCAGACAAACTGTCAGCAGCTGGGAAAATATTTCTGTACACATTTCTAAAATACCTTTTAATACCTTTACACAAATAAAATCGTTGTCAGTTCAAGCCTAGCTATCAGTGTTCTCATTGGTGTCACAATGAAGGGTGGCCATGGGTAGACAGTTCTGAAGTGTTCTTCTGTACTTACAGGAGAGTTGACCCCATCCACAGTGAAGGGTGGCTGTGGGTACACATAGTCATGGTGCACATCTCTCTGTGAGGGTACAAACACCAGGTGGGTCTGCAGTCTGCATGGGGAAACAAAAATACATGTACAACTACAAAGTAAATTTGGCTCTTCCTAAGTAACTTGTAGAACTGTCACCAATCATGCTTATTGATGGTACATCATTTCATGTGTTATACAGTCATGTACACATTTAGTAGTACCGACATCGAAACACAATGGCCAAACTTACTCCTCTGTAGCTTTAATCATGTTTTGAGCTATCTTCTCGAACATGTCGCCATATGATACTTCCACCGTGCACTTCTGCAAAAGGGCAAGAAAAATATAATCATCAAAACAATCATTGACAAATTCTTAAATTAAAACACAGTGATGCTGCCTGTAAAATTACTAAAAACACTGCAAAAAAAATGCTGTGCAACAGTTACACTTACCTCAATGCTTTCATGCTTGGAGTCAACAAATGGTCCCATCTGGAAAAGATATTAAATTTTATTAGAATATATTGATGTAGAAGGGGCGGCTACAACAGAAGCAATACCAACCTTGGTAATAGGTTTTCAAATAAATCTGTTTAGCTGTTACATAGGCAAAAATTGACCTCATAAACCCAACAAAGATATGTGGCGAAGCTTGTAATTGTTGGGAGAACATAGTTGTGAAGAAGTTGTAACACAAGCATGAACTAAGCCAGCTGTGAGACCCACCAGCACACAGACATCAGGCTTGTCCCTCTTCAGGTACTTGAGCAGGTCCTCCAGGGGTTCATACGCCAGGCTGTCAGACGGTGTGAAGGGGCCAGCCGCAACAAGAACCTGCACTGGAACTAACCAGGAAACAACAGTTCAATATCACATCATAATGTATTAGAGGAGTATCAATCATAATGTATCAATGCATTATTTTCTTTTGGGACATTGGCAGGCAAACAAAAATATTTTAACTGCAGCAGTAGCTAAATAATATAGTGACTCCCACCTGATAAGTTTTCACTGGTTTCATCCACTTCAGCAAATGGCAAGTGGACACCCTACAAAGGGGAAAGATGTCAGACTAAATGCCAGCTTCAGATTGATTGTCTAATGTGCACATATAAATCTTAGTAATGTTAAAAAGTTTGTGCTAAAGTGTAAGGTTTGGCTTACCTCATAGAATTTAGACACCACCAGTTTGCATCCAGTTGTGTTTAGACCATCACAAGCTACAATCTGAAAAAAAAATACAAAGACATGTGAGCTAAAAATAGATTGCTTCCTGTCTTTCAAGTGCAAAATATAGAAAAATCTTGGGTTCATTTAGCAGGGCACAAGTATTAAGTGAAAGAGGATCTCCTGACAATAAGACTGAGCTGAGGTATTTTTTCATGTTTGTGGATTTCATGGCAGACTCCTCAAATCCCTGTCTCATCTAGATGATTGCTTAAAAATTGACATGCTGTAAGTATCACCTTCCACTTATATAATGACACAGCATATTGACACTTGAATACACTGGACCCACCTGTCCAGGGAAGAGAGAATACTTGGCCACCTCGCTCAGGTCCAGGTGTACAGTTTTACCAGCTGAGGTGTCCTTAGACCCCTCCAGCAGTACAGAGTGAGCGTTCAGCCGGCCTGTACTCATGTCACAACACACACGCCCACTCACTGTGATGGGCTCCTGCAATGTGACAACAACAATGTTCTATGATGAAAATTTCTCCTGAAGGCCTTGAACAATAACATACTGGTACCACATAACAATGTTTTTCAAGCGGAACAGGCCTTGACTCTTTGAGTTCACATGTTTTGGATGTGCAATGTCACTATGCAACTGTCAAATCCCCCCTGTAAACCTTACCACAGTCAGCTGGTTCTGTCAAAAATACATGTATCTTACAACTGAACAAATGCATGTGGTATTCAAAATGGTCTTGTGGAGAAGAAGAGGTATCTTTGCTATTATACTAGCTCTAAATAGGTTTACAGCACTGCAGACAGTACAAACCCCCACCAAGACAGCATTTTGCAACATCCTTCAACACTGACTGAAAGGTTGCCGCAGTTGAATGGCTGCTACCTGTGGTGCACAAGGGGGCACAAAGCCTATGCTGGGGGCACTAACCTGGCAGGGCCAACCCATGGACTGTAGGTTCTCAATCTTGTGGCTCTGTTGAAGCTGGTCAGACATGTCCTCAATCACATCATTTAACACTAGAGGGTGAAAATACAGGTAAAACTTCTTATCTCATACAAAATCAATCATTTAATCATTAAAGTCCTTTGTCAATTTTTCACCCCAATGTCCTCCAGCAGTTAAAAATGATGAGAAATGGCCCTATGGCCTACACGGAAAATCAAAGGCACAAACAAACAAAGAACGGACCGTTAGACTTCTCGAACACCCTGTAGAACATGTGCTTGTACTTCTCAGTCAGGGCAGTGTCCCTGTCGTACTGCTGGATAGCCACATGTTCCGCCCCGCGACCCTTCCACTTCTCCCCCTGGTCCCCGTGGGTTACCATGGTTTCTCCCGCCCCACTGCGACTGCGGTACTGCTGGGATGGAGTCGCACTGCAGGAGTGAAGAAATGAATAAATGACTGGTTTATTCGGTAAATAACTCACAGCTGGAAGCTGAATTATTTATCACTTAGGCCACACCAATCTAATTTCTTGGTTAACGGATTCGCCGCTTCATTTTTTTCTGATTTGCAAATAAAAATAAAAATCCAGAATCAACTGTAAGATGCTCATATTTTGCCCTGGACAGTTGAAAACAGTCCTTTTCATCCTAGTTGTTATTGCTATTCCATCTTTCAATGCAATGGTATCATTAAAAGTTCAAAATTCATTGTTTGAATTTTGAACCAGCCTGGTGTATTGACTTAATGGCTCTTATCGTACCATTTTGGGCCATAATAGGATGCCTAGGCCTGTTTTTATTTTTATTTTTTTTCCGCCCGCCCGCTCCATTATTTTTCTAGAAAAATCCGTTAACCAAGAAATTAAATTGGTGTGGCCTTACAAGTTCTGTCCAGTATCAATGTGACAAAGCTTAACATAGTAAAAATGTTGAGTTACATCAAAACAAATTCAGTACCAGGTATATTGGTTGATTGGAACAAACTGTAATATAGGTAAACTGTTGTGTTACTATAGTGCATACCGCTGTGTTGCTCAGAAGTCAGGTGTACTGACTAAAAAAACAAACACTTGCTACATATACTGGTATTTGTTCCCTATGACCACTAGTACTGTGGGTCTGTGGCTAAACAATTTTATTCATAACACCCTCAGCCCTTACTTGACAGGTGAGAAGGATCCAGGAGAGAAGGGAACCACAGGACTTCTTGACACTGATGTCAGCTTCTTGTTCACGACTGAGACATTCTCTGGAGTGGTCAACAAGCGCTTGTTCTTCCCCTACAGCAAAAATAACCATTATGTATTACAACCTTGTCATTCTTCAACACTGTTACAAGGGCTCAAAATGGACCCTAACATCAGTCTTAAAACAGAGCTGAATGTCTTAGTAGCCTGCATTACACAATCTTTTGCTGCAGGGGCTGACTAGGTCTTCTCCCTGAGAGGCCTGACTAGTGGAAGGACAAATAGAAGCAGGCTGCAGGATTTACCTTTGATGCTGGTGTGGAGTACACATCTAATAGGTCATCCTCTGCCTCAGGGTTGATGTTGCTGATGTCATGCATGACAGCTGCTGGTTTTTCTCTCTTCACTTTGGGAGTCTTGGTCTTGTTGGCTCTCTGGAAGCACAAACAATGGCAAGCTTTGTTGCTACTGTAATTTGTTATAGACACTAGTATATATTGAAAATCTTGTCACATACATTTAAAGCAATCAATGTGCGTTTTAGTTCTGTGGTTCATTCATTTATTTTACCTGTAAATCACACTCAGGTCAGGTGTCCCTGAGTACATAACAAGCTTAACACGGACACAAGAAATAGTACTTGCCTCTCGCTCAAACTGCTCGAGTTTGTCCATGGTGAGAGCAGCACTGTTGTTGGAGATAGAGAAGGCTATCCACTCATCCACCATGCCTGACGCATCCAGGCGGTACACCAGACATAGCTCCTTCACTGATGGGGTAGATAAAACACAACATTCTTTATTAGCAAAATATATGGCTATTGACAGGCAGCATTGGTACTTGTATTTTGACCTTGTAAACAAGAGGATCTAGGCACTAGTAATAGTAGTATTCTTTTTCAAGCATGTCAGAAAAAAAAAAACTTGATTTAGTTTTATTTTTGCACCTATTTACCGATCATCCTCTGGGTTAGCGTTAAATATGGGTTAGGGTCAGCCTGTCTAATTTAGCGAAAAATATCTTGACAAGCTTAGAGAAAGCCTCTGACAAAAAAAATATTATTGTCATTAGCTAGTAGTACGATATGTAAATATCGGGCCCCAACACTTTGTAGACCACATGAAGAGACACTGAGCTGACAGACCAGCTGATAGAATCCTAGACTAGTACTTAGTAGTGAAAAAGACTTTGTGATATTTCTGCGTGAAGATGATTTTCTTTATCATCCAGGTTGGAAGAAGCATTCCAAGCCCTGACAAATTATCTATCAAAACAAAACGCCGGCCGACTCAAGCAAGAAATCAGCACGCTCTATCGTATAAGGACTCCTTACATTTGTCCATGACGTCTTCATCTTCGAGTTTGATGTCGAAAGTGCCGAATTCCTGGGCCAAGTCTTCCTCGTCCACAGCGATCCCCGCCATCTTTGTTACTCCGTAATGTAATCTTCGCGCCAAATTCGGGGGCCTTTTGGGACTGTCGTAAGCCGCATTTATTTAGCGCCTTCTCAACCTCAGGACATACGAAAAATTAAAGCATTTCAATAAAGAATTTGAATGGTACTATTTTTGTGACTCGTTAAATGTTTTAGCATTACGTATATGTAGACATGTTTGTAATAGCGATAAAACGAAAGTAATCAGGCGGCTCTAAATATACGGTGGCCAGCTCGGTTTCTGTGCCGACAGACGCTCATCAATTTCCAGCAGTGCCACTTGTTGCAGCTACTGTTTAAGATGGATGACTGTACTTTGGAGAAGCTTGGTGTCTCCCCGGGCGCACTCACCCCCAAGTTCCATAAGGACACGGCGGAGTACAACGTCACGGTCGCCAGTAACGTGGAGAAGATCAAGTTCGACGTCCTGACAAGCGACAGTGGCGCCTCCTATCAGATCAAGGTGGGAGGGTCCTCTTGTCGGCAAAACTTCTGCAGACTACTTTAGAAATTAGAAACAGGTGCAGCTAGCTGTCATCGCCAATTACTTGGGGTTTCGAAGTTACAAAAACACAACTGATCAAGCATTCTTATGTAATACTCATTTGTTTGAGTGCGTATACTTGTTTTCAGAATGGTAACCTGATACTCCAAGCCCCAGTGTTTGTCACACCTGATTTGCACGCCAGAAAAAAAAGTTGTTTGTTGTTTCGCAGGTGTTTTCTTACAGGTGGTTTGTTTACAAAAGCTCAGCAGGGGCACATGTTTATGTTCAAATACATTCCTTTTTATAGATTTTTGCTAATATTCTTTGCTCACTTCATCTTGAAAGTTATAAATACCATATAATACTTGACCAGGACTGGCATTAATGATTCCATATGGCGGTACTTACTGTAAATACCCTTAGCCTTACATTCTCACATCAACAACATATCTGATTTTAGTTCTACACAGCAGTTGGTAAACTTCACCTTCCTCTGATTGCATACATTGTTAACTGATACGCAAAGAGTTTAAGTGTATGTATAAACTATGTAAAGTGACAACTTGATCAATTAATTGGGGCCAATTGGATCCCTTTTAAACACCCTTAAGTGTTCATATCAAAATTCCTTCCAAGCAATATGATACCTAGCCTGGGTGCCATCCGATTTGTAACGGCAACCCCGAAAAAATCAGGGTTGCCTTTACAAATCGGATGGCACCCGGGCTATACAATACCTATCAGTGTATTCAAAATTCCATAGGCCTTTATGACTCAAATTGGCCATGTGACATGATGTAGAGTAGTGTTGCTAGACTTTAGACTACAGAACAACATCTTTCTCTCTCTCTGATATGTCAATGAAGGTTAGACCTTCTGGTACAACATTATATGATACAAAGTAAATCAAGTAATTGGATTGAGAGAATTTATCCAGTTGCCTGACTTACTTTGTATTGCACCTCTCTCAGCACATTTCAATCATCATTTTACTTTCTCACATCCCAACAGAACAGTGGTGGGGAGAAGACCATCCCACTGAAGGAGGGGGATGTAACAAACGTGCAGATTGAGGTTACGGCAGAAGACGGCACAGTGAAGATCTACACGGTAAACGTGAAGCGTCTGTCTGCAAGCGATGCCACCCTCACCACCCTGCAGCTGTCAGCTGGCACCCTGGAACCTGAGTTTGCACCAGGAACATACACCTATTCATGTGAGTTCTGTTTTTAATCACGTTTTTGATCTCTTTCTAAGTCTAACATTTGTAACATCAAATCTCATAATGATGCCAAGTACTCTTACACTGCAGAAAGCAAATACATCTCTCTAGTTATTCTAGACTTTTTGCCATTTGCTTTTTGACAACAATTAAAGATTTAGTGTGAGAATTCCAGTCATTCTCATGAACTTCATCCTCACTTCTGTTCGTAGCTACTTTACCTTGTCACATCAGCTCCCTGACCATCACAGCCAAGGCCCCCGACCCTAAGGCAGGTGTGAAGGTGTGCGGACAGACACCTGACACACCTGTGCAGCTGAATGTGGGTGAGACTCAGGTGGAGGTGGAAGTCACCTCACCTGATGGATCAAAGCAGCAGGTGAGACACAAACAGTTTCTTCCATGCTTTCCATAAATGTTGGAAGAATTTCCACTGCCCAGCTGACGAAAAGGACTTTTATGTAAATCTTTGATCCATTGGAATTTTTTCCACTCTTCAGTTAGTATTATGGAACAGAAGGTTTTAAGTAGGCTGTAGCAAATATGGCTAAACCTGTACTAAGTGATGACCAATACATAAGAACCACCTGGCTAATGAGGCCATTTTTTGTGGTCCCTTAGATAATTTTCCCCATTGACAGTAATTAAGAATCCTGTCCACATAGACCAATTTTATTGGTCCCCTGACTGGTCTTCTTGGACAGTTTTGACTGCTCAATCCCACCCCTGTTCTCCCCAGGTGTATTCCATCAGTGTAGTGAGGGAGTCCCATGGGCAGGTTTGTGAAGCTGGCTGACCCCAAACTGGCGCTGCAGCTGGAGTGTCCAGTGACTCTCAGTCCTCTGTATCGACCAATCAGCATCAGGGAGAGTGATCCCAAACACACCTACTCTGCCCCCTGCATCGACATCCTCACCAGGTAAGTGCCAGTAGAAGATACTAACCTGTCCTTGGTACTGAAAAAATGGTCTGCACCATACAAACTTAACTAGCCTGTCCTTGGTACTGAATTATTGATCTGCCCTACAAACACAACCACCTTCCATGGCTAACAGGGGAAGCTTTGGACTGCTGTTCATCGTGCTGGTCACAAAAAGTGGAGAAATTTTTCAGGAGCATTGAGGCTTTATGTGTATATATGATGTAAGGGTTGGTTGATGCTGTTTTCTGCTTTGCATAGGACCTCAAAACAGGACCCCTTAGACGAAAGCCCATTGCCTACTGAGTGGAGGATTGTGGACTTTGATATGGACAAGAAGGTGTCTGCAGCTGTTGTCAGCTGTATCTACACACATGCAGGTGAGTAGGAATACCTGCTAAACAGGTGATTATAAGCATGCATGTGAGTAAGAATGCCTGCCACAAAGGTGATTATAACACTTGTCATGCAGGTAAGAGTCACCTGTTAAGCATGTAAGGGCTATTTTCATGCAGGTGCATAGGTACACCTGTCTTATAGGTGGATAGAAGCATCTGTAGAAAATGAGCACCTGTTGGTCCTGTCATAGAAACACAATTTTTGCTAGTCTGTTGGAATTGATTACTTGGCTTTCCATTATAACAAGCCACAATAAGGTAGAAAGTAATCATTTCAGAACCACTATCTCACCTCCCAGGTTGTACAGAACAGATGAAGTATGGGGAACTCGGTGCTCATGCCAATGACTGCCAGCACAGGCCCAAGCCTGAACCAAACTCCACCCTGGTGACAGAGTCTGCCTGGTACAAGGCCGACTTTGCCTCCACCAAGAAAACTGATTCAGACATCAAGCACAAAGTGGAGGTAAGCTGTTTGTAGAGCAATTTAACCATCTGTCTGCTGAGGTAGCCTTTTGGTATTAGACTTGTAAATTGTAATGATTATCCAGCTAGGTAGCAGTGAAATCAAATGTTTTGATATACATGTATATCAATTCTTAGCTACTGTTTATGTTCATTCAGTGATATGTGATTCAAACTATGTGTTTCAGGTGCGCAGCTGGGAGAAACATCTCCACCATGTGACAGACTCCAGCCTGAAGGAGCTGGATGAACAGGCCAAGGACCATCTCAAGAAGTACAGAGAGGCCTTGCCAAGGATAGGTCAGTGTCAAGTCTGTTGTTTGTCAATATTGTTCTGAAACAGACAGTCAGGTCCCACAACTTTCCACATAAAGTCTGGAAAGTTAGTGTTTGTTAAAGCACCATGGTTGCATTCTAAAAATGGTTCTAGAAATTTGAGTATGTAGTTTGAGAATATAGAATTGACAATTTTAAAAATGAAAGTTATTTTTCTCTTTTTTTTAATGCCCTCATTTTTTCATCACTCATACTTTTTCCTTGCTTTCTTGGCCAAAACAAGAATGCTCTTCCACTTTCACTACTGGCATGATAACTAATTTTTGTCATATTACCCAGGGCAAAACCAGTCATACGAGCATGGGAAGTCCCCGCCTGGACTACTTGAGTAATGCAGCCCAGTGTTACGCCACCAGCATTAAGATGAAGGGGAAGGATGTGAGCCTGCACTGCAGCCTGGGACTGGTGCTGGAGGAACAGTACTATGCCAAGGACATGTACGGACTCAAGGAACAGGTGGGGAATTGCAAGGAGTTGTAGACTCATAGCCATATCTATCCCTGGCAAGAATATGCTATATTATCAGATTTGCCTTCATTAGTCTACATGTCAAAATAACAAATGCTGTGTTTATGTTGGAGTTTGTTTATCACAAGCTTCTTACTCCCAAATCTTAACCCAGGATGAAGATGATGACCTTGGCCTTGCTGGGCTGAACCTGGCAGCCAAGGAGAGTTCTAAGGAGGAGGAAATCGACGCCATCTGTAACCTGAGAGGGGTTCCCGCCACCGCACCGCTGGCTCGGAAACTGAAGGCCGTGGACGAGGAGTTCCACCACCTGTTAGACAGCGGGCAGACGGGAAAGGCTGAACACGTGCAGGCACTGTACGCATGGAAGTCCAAGCAGGCAACACAGGTAGGACGATACAGTCAAAAATAGGGGTATGAAATTCATAGAGGATTCTGCAAGCGCAGATGACCTTGCAAACTTCCATGTCTAATGTCTTTCTGTCCGTCACCCTACTGCCTTAAACCATGTAAGCAAAATAGAGAATTGGCAGCGAAATGGCTACTTCTGTGTGCTAAATGTTGAGCCCTACCTCAATGCCAATCCTAACTTTCCATTGAAGTGATTATCATTGTCACTCATCCAACATGCACTCTACACACCTCAGATGACAACCATCTACTCACCATACCTTTTTGGCCAACTCCTGTCATAGACCACCTTGTAGCAGTCCGACCAGCCAATAACTAATCATCATTAATAATTGTC